AAGAACTTTTAGAAAGGTCTCATAAGATCATTTTGCTAAATTTCTGAAAGTGCCTTTCTCTGGCTTTATTCGGAAATACTTCATGCTCGCAGAAAGATGAACTTAGGACAACATTTGGTTTGACATGGCTTGGATTGATTAAGGCTGTTCTATCAATTGAGGTACTAATTCATTTATAATTATTTTGATATCTTGAAACATATGGGGCTTGGGAGTGAAAAGGGAGCATAAACATTTCAATTAACACAGGCATAGGAAATCACAAAATATATTCAAGACAGCAACATGCGAAAACTCTTACATTGACATTGTGTTTTGTGTTCAATTTTAAATCGTTTGAATAAAGTGCTACACAGGCAATATTATAAGGTGCATTGATGATCAATTTGTGCAATGATGAATGGAAAATGTGCAGCAATGAGTCTGAATTCATGCAGCGTGAAATTTTCTAATTGTTTTCATTAGTAATCAAAATGTATGAAACAGCCACCAACTAAACAAAAAGTGCAATTTGTTTAATCAAAAATGTTGTAACTTTTAAAAACTAGCTGATATTGATATATACCTAGGGGTTGGCATATTGTCTTGCGCATAAGACGGCTTGTTGAACTAGTTTTAGGTCTGTTGTGTGCTGAGACTAAATTTTTGCAATGGATAATGGATACACGCAATGGATACACGGACATTTCTTATATCATTCTCACCGGCTCAAAGCCTACAGGTTCCCCAAATTTACCAAGAAATCGGTTTCTCGCTTAAAGTTTACTGAAGGAGCACTTGATTCAATTACAAAAAGTTCCAATCGATTTTTCTTGGGAAGTCTTTTCATGTGTGATATATATATTTATGTTTGCTAGTGTTTTCTTTCGCTGGTATGTTTCAATAAATCATGAAGCAAATTTATCACATTTTATATCTAATAGGCAATAGCGAGTTGGCACAATCATTTTTATCGTAGTAAGCATAAGTTTGTCTATTTTGTATTCAGTTACGAGAGCTTTAGCTACTTTTAAGTGAACTTCAGCTACTCAGCTACGCTGTATCTTCAGTACTGAAGCCTAAAGTGTACCTCTACCCATCCCTTTCTCATTAGATGGTGCTATAATGATCAGTCCAAGTTCATTTACTTCCAGCTAATAAATTTTCAAAAAAAGGGTGGGGGTCGATTAAGGGTCGACCTTTAAAGCTCTTCAAGAAAAGGAATGGGTATATATAGATGGGTACATTAATTATATTAAATCTACCCATAATTTTGAGGTATTAGTTTGTTGATGAAAAGCATAACAACCCTATCTGCAAAACGCACCCACGGTACTCGGACTAATGCTTTACTGCCAATTGCGATACTAGTTTGAATTGCAAAATTTATGTATTTGTGCAGTGATGAATACCTTAGAATATTGTCTGTTGCTACATCACTTCTAGGTCCACCATTTACCAATTATATCTATGCAACTCATAGTCAGGTCTCCGTACTTTTATCGTTAGATATCTTTCAATAGGTGCATCACCAATCCACAAATATTTTGCGACATATCTTTATATCTATGTTTGGATAAGATATGAACCCAAGAATCACCCTTTTACATTTCCTCGACTATTCTCATAGGGTGTATGCTCACTATTCTCATTACCAGCAATGAAACATGTCTGAAAATTGAAGTCCATTGCTGATACATTGACATTATGACGAAAATTCAGGATGATTGTGCAGTTGGCATCTTCAACATTTTTCAAACGTTTTTCCAGCCAGAATGATCAAACCAGCAGACATTCTGTCTAACAAGAATTCCAGCTCATTCTCGACCTTTAAAGTACTTTCCAACTTACAATCAAACCAAAATACCATTATGTTTTCAGTCTAAAATATAGCACCTTGAAGTTATTTTCTTCTTCTCTTTGACCCCTTTGAATTTTGCATACACATCATATTTCCCCTTCTCAGTTAGGTCTAATGGATATTTTGTAGCAAAAATTTAAGTCTTTGCTATCAAAAGAATGTTTGTTTGAAAGAATTTTTATGTTTTTTGGATATAATATCTTATTTATGTCTGGGGTCAATAGTCTGGCTTCAGAAAAAGGTTAGATTTAGAATGTTAGAAGCAGTGGCAATAAATTG